CTATTTAGATCTCATAGCATGAAATCTCCATCCAGCCTCTTCTGTTAGAGGGCTTGAGCCTATACTAGCTACCACAGGCCAGGCACAGCATTAAATTGTCCAATAATAATATTAATAGTTAGCTTTTCTGCAATCGGATATTTTTGTAACTGTATAAAATAAGTCGATAGCAAGGTTTCTCTCAAAGTTACAAAGCTGCACAAAGTATTCAAATCCAAATGCAGCTAATGTTTTTCATAAAACATTAAAATGTCTCAGTTTCAACATTTCTGTGTTGCACTGTGAATAAAATATGGGTTTATGAGAAACCATTGCATCCCAGTATTTTAAGAACTGGGTTTGCATATGTAACTTAGTTATGTAGTGTAAGGACTGTGGGTTTGTGCTTCCTGCATTCTTAAAACATATGTGTTCATTTCCAGCACATCAATGTGTCAATATACAGGCATACAAATTGTGTTATTAATACAGTTAAGTTATATATCTAAACACAGTGACTGTATAAACTAATTCAGTAAGTGTGGTCCTCATATTGACACTCGGCCCCAGGATGCCTGGGTTCAGCAGGGCCTGCAGGCAGCAACTTGGGCAGGGTAGGACCAGACAAGAGTCTTCAGGTTGACCAGGACACTGGTCTGACAGAAAGGACCAATCACATCAGACGGGTAGGATACTCGGGCTGGGACTATGCATGGCTCACAGCCTCTGAGGATGACAGTGGGTTCTCATGGTTGCTCAACAGCTGACTCGGGTTGGGATGTAGGCACAGGCTGCAGTGAATCCCTGGCTGGTGGTGACTTGGGTGAATGGGGCGCAAGTGCAGAACTGTAGCGCTGAGGAGCTGGTGAATGAAAAGCAATTAGGCTGAAGTGGCGAGGATGACAAACTGGAGGAAACAGGCGAGACAGACTGCCTGCTGTTGTAAAACCACTGTGTAGCAGGCAGAGCGTGGACCCAACGTGGAAACAGGACTAAACTCAAAAACAGACTTTTTGCTGTAATTCTCTGGGAAAAAATTACAATACAAAAAAATCGAGGCAGAGCTGGAGACAAGACGCAAAAACTGAAATCAGTGACAAAGTAGATAGAAAACCAAACCCTGGAAACAAAAATATACAGAAACGTCAGGAGATACTGACAAGAGACCAAACTCAAAACACTGGATCTCAGACCAAGTGCAGTTGTACTGGTTTATCTGGACCAATGGGGACTTAGTGGTAAACACACGCTGAAAAAATACAACAAAGTCATTTGAAAGAAAGAATTTTTTCCACGTTTAGTTTGTTTCTGTCTGGAAAACCACAAAACAACCTGAGGTCTGATCGTTTCGCCAGCACTTTGTGCTTTATAGTGCAAATAGAGTCATGACAATAAAAGAATATGACTTTAAGGACTTAACATTACTTCAGTTACACCAACATCTCTGACACATTAGCACTAAGGGAACACTGAATGACCTGCTGGTTTCTGTCCATAAAACTACTCATCTAAGATGACCACAGAGTAAAAGATCTCTCAGCAACATTATGCAACATTTTAGGCACTATTGCCCCGATCAAGTCAGTGAGCTGAGATTTTTTATTCTCAACATGAGCTACTGTTACAGCAACAGATATGGACTACATGCCCCACACAACAACTCAATGTCCACTATGTGAAGCAGCCAAACACATGCCTGCTCCTCTAGCATAGCCTAACGTTATTGTGACGGACACATTTTATGAGTGAACTTGGCTTTAAGTGACTTTAAGTGACACCTGCAGCTTTAAGTGGCTGCAGGTGCCAAATTCCACCATTCTCGCCTCCCTCCATTGTGCCAACCATCTCACACAGACCCCGAGAGCAGAGCGTTTTGCAGATGTGTTCTCTCCTCTGCCCAATCATACCACTCTCAAAGAGCTCTAGTTCAAAACATGCCCAGGTGTGATGGTGCACTCACGGCCCTATCGGTTACCTGAACACAAAGACAAATTATTTAATGGGAACTGATGGAAATGCTGAAGATGGGTGTAATAGAGTCACACAGTGCATGGTGTAGCCCCGTAGTTCTTGTGGTGAAGAAGGATGGGTCTATACCATTCTGTTTTGACTACCGCAAGGTGAACAAGGACCCACAATTTGACACTTATCCCAGGCTGTCCTGGACCAGTTAGGCACTGCTTGTTTTTTCCCTATGCTGGATTTAACCAGGAGCTAATGGTAGATTCCATTGTCTCCAGAGTCTAAAAGAAAAGCTCTTCTCCATCCCAACCACTAAGAAGTGTGTGTGCTCGTCCAAAGGGCTTTCAGCCTCAGTATTTACACTCTGGGTGTGCACCTGTTTACAGCCTGACCACCTGTTAGGTAACGTGTGTCAGTCACTGGTCAGTGCATGTAGCCCCGCTCTTTGAAGATCATCTTAGCTTCCCAGCAGTACTAGCTAGCTACTGTTTTTAATATGCTAAAGTGCTCTTCAGAAATAAAGCTTGAAGCACCTCAGACTGTAAATGGGTCCTTTTACATTTACACACAGTGTTATAACAATGACTGCACCCTACACCCATGAAAATCAAGATTAAACTGCTGTCTGTAAACACACCAGTGCAAATGTTACCACATAACTTTCTGATACGTAGAACAGAATAACTAGTTTTTGTCATTCGGAAAAACAGAACGAAATTTTAGTGCATTTACTCATCATTGGACAATTAAATAAATGTAAATCTGAATAAAAAAAGGATGTGTACCCGTAAGATTATGAGGGAAATTTGTCCACAGAATTTTAGGAAATCTAAATATGCTGCACAGCAGAAATAGCAGCAGAAGAAAAGTGCACAATCACCAGTCCATGTATGAAACTTCACTGCCCTACATATACAGTCATAATGTGCCGTGTGCATATTTATGGAGTTGGGGGCTGCAGTTTGGAGAAGACGCTGTTTTATTAATATACAAGAGTCTAATTGGATGGGAAACTAAACTGTTGCAGAACCTGGCAATCCTGGACCTGGCAGCAGGAGAACAGCGCATGGTGGAGGTGGGTGGAGTCTGTGATGATGATGCTGGCTCTGCCGTGACAGCGTCTGTGAACAACGTCATGGAAGGATGGAAGAGAAGTCCCTGTGATCTTCTCTGCAGTCCTCACCACTCTGCAGCGATTTCTTCTCCGAGGCCCTGGAGCTGCCAAACCAGACGGAGATACAGCTGCTCAGCACGCTCTCACTGGTGCCTCGGTAGAAAGTGGTGAGGATGGGAGGGGTGAGGTGTGCTCTCCTCATCAGGTGCAGGAAATTTAGATGCTGCTGAGTCCATTTGAGTAAATGATGAGAACCGAGAATTGAAAAAAGAACTGAAACAGGACGATTACAGCGGTAGCTGTCACACCTAGTGTTGCTGCCCTGTCAAGGCAAAGAGTAGAGATGACACTATTGCTTTAAATTCATTTGTTTTAATTACACCAGTACACTCGACAAAATGTGAGCTTAGATTTTTGAATATAAACAAACATTTAACTGCACATCCTGTCATCTGGGAGAGATGTATATGAATAACTTTTACAAGCCTGGAAGCTGAGGCACGGCTTAATCCTGACAAGGAGACAAACTTCAGCGCTTTGCACAGACGTCACAACCTCCGTGCAGCACTTCCAGAGAGATCAACGACCGCTCATTAAGATCAGCCAGACATCTGTCCCTTTCTATAGCTGTAGCTGAGCAAAGCAAGATATCAGGGTGCAGACAAAATAATAAATACCTCAATTTTCAGGTAGATGATGAGACGTGTGGCAGTGGAGTTCACATCTCTGAGCAGCAGAGAAGTGATAAATCCACAGAAAAAAAAATCCACTAAAACTGCAAGAAACTCTGCTGTCTGCAGCCCTGTTTCCAAGCAGCCATTTTACTTTTCATTTCACAGGTTTTATGCTTTGATATTAGAGTGTATTGTTTGCTAGATCGAGCAGCATCAGTGACTATAAAAGATATAACCCCACTGCACAAAAACACACACCTGCTGGATGTGACCACGAACACTTGTTACATAGCCTGGCTGCTCCAGTTCTGATCGTCTCTGCTGCTTTTACTGCTACTGATGACCAGTGTTGGTCAACTTACTTGAAAAAAGTAATCAGTAACTAATTATTGATTACTTCCCCAAAAAAGTAATCCCATTACTTTACTGATTACTTATTTTCAAAAGTAATTAATTACTTAGTTACTTAGTTACTTTTTAAAAACACGATTTACAACCTGAAGAGGTGATAAAGTGATAGATCTTTCAGCCCAATTCTACTTTTTCTGCATAATCCATCATACAAAATGTAATCAAATGGAAAAGTCTCTTTTTTTAACTTGTTTTATCAGTTTTAATCTTTTAACTTTATGCATCAAGCAAACATTAAATTATCTGCAACATTCTCTGACTTGAATAAATCAGTTTAATATTTAAACCTATTTTCTGCACATTCCAGCTCATAAAATAAAATATTTTGTGTGTTTACACTCAGTCTTTCAAATAGATGCAAGTAAAACACAGTAGAAAATAAATAAAGTCAAAGACTCAGCGGTCCTGTTGCTCTATTTTCACCTGTATAGCAGGAGTGGGGCAGGCGGAGGGTTACCCTGGTGCAGGTGTGCCGCGGTCAGTGGAAGGATCCGCGAGTTTCTCTGTGAGTTTCCCATTACGTCGTAGCTACTCGGTGCTTGTTTGGAAGTTTAGGGGTTTTTTTTGCTGTAAAAAGAAGTTTTCTTCCCACGCACAGCGGACACTAATGTTTTTGTCACTTTTTATGGAATCAAACTCAAAGTAAGGTCAGTACTTCCACGCTTTAAACGCTGCACGCTCATACTCTCTCCCGCACTCGATATATTATCCATTGTTGATCTGCACACAGCTGTTGTCAGGAACGTCGCACTCGCTGACGTCACTGTCGTGAGACATTCTCGCAAAAAAATTACGGTTTTAGTTCCTATGGGAAAGTAACGGTAATCTAATTACCGTTTTTGCAATAGTAATCCCTTACTTTACTCATTACTTGAAAAAAGTAATGAGATTACAGTAACGCGTTACAAGTAACGCGTTACTGCCCATCTATGCTGATGACTAAATTAAGCTAAATACAACCATGTCACTACAATTAAAATGACACATAGCTTAGCATCGTATAGTTCTGCACAGCGTCCAACATCACTCTGTAGCATTCTGTTAGTTTGTTAGCTAGATTAGCTGTTAGCATACACTAATTCTGTTACCCTATATTCACAGAGATGACATCAACTGTACGCTCCACAGAGGCCCACATTTACACTTCATATCAGAATTATCTGGAAATTAAATTTAAAGTTTCACAGAGCGCTCTACAGCCTGGTAACATGGAAACTTTAAATAAAATGTTAGACTAAAAAACACAACAGCAGGAAGTTTAATAAAAGTGTAATTAGTTATTTTATGTAATAACAGGATAGCCAGGAGTCCACATTATTTTCAACAGCTACATTCACAGTGGACGTTAGCGTCAAGCTAGGTTTCCTCTTGGAGAAATACCCTCCCATTCTTTCATTACAGCTGTGCTGTGTCAGATGTTCTGTTGACCCACTGAGAGAGGCATATATATATAGTGTGTGTGTGTGTGTGTCTACATACATGCTAATCGCAGGAATCAAGCAGGACTCGCAGTCTTCAGCCCCTGAAGATGGACAAACCCAGCACTTCATGAACAGTGTGATCGTGACCTTTGTGCAGTGTTACAAGTACTCAGATCATCGTCTATAGAGGCTCTGGACTTTTACGTAAATAGGATCAATTCACTCCTTGTATCAACAACAACAACATGTTATGAGACTTATTTCTGACCGTTCCCTTTACCCACGCTGCTACAGCTGAGAAACACCAACCAAGTCCCACTCTAAGCCTCCATCCCGCCACCATCAAAACATTAACAGCAAACTCATTACTCAGTTATGGAGACCATGGGAAGAGTTGTTTAGTGAAGTCATTCAGTCAATTAATGAGTCTACATATTTGTGAGTACTTTGAGGACCATTTTTATGTCTATGCAGTGCAAATAAAAGATTAATACAATGGCTAAAACAATTTTAAGCCTTTGTGTTTTATTACAAGATTTGACACTAGTGAGCTGTATTTAAACCCGAGGTACAAACTTAGATGCTGAAATGTTTTCCTGTTTCCAAGCAGCTCACTATGGTGACAACTGATGCTTTTTTAAAATGACATTCATGTGTTGTCTGGACATGATTATGTTAGTATAAATATGGTAAATTGTAGAAATGATTGGGTTTTGCACATTTAAAGAATCCAGAGAGTCGTTAAGTTTGCCAGATATGAACTGAATTGAATCCCTCAAACAGAAATGGAGCTGATGCAGACACACACACACACACACATGGACTGAAGGAACAAATTCCAAACGATGTTTTTCCATAAAAATCCAGGGCAGATTGTTGCAAACAGCCAACATCACTACTCTCAGTAAATGTGTCATGCCTGGATGGGATCTGGTCAATGAGGAGAACTTCCCAGTCGCTCCCAGTGTGTCCTCAGATGCTGCCGAGACACAGTGAGGCATTGGTGCCGCCGAAGCCGAATGAATTTGTGAGGGCTACCCGTCGACCCCGAGTCTGCCATTGCTGCGCTGTGCAGGGAACGTAATTCAAGTCGAACTCGGGCTCTGTTCGGTCCAGGTTAAGGGTTGGGGGCAGGACTTTGTGGTAACAGGCCAGAGCGGTGAAAGCTGCCTCCAGAGCCCCAGCAGCCCCGAGCAGATGTCCTGTGGCCCCCTTGGTAGAGGACACAGCCAGGATGCTAGCACTTTGCTGGAAAAGTCTCTTGATGGCTGCATTTTCTGCTGCGTCTCCCAAAGGTGTCGATGTGGCGTGAGCATTTATATATGTGACATCAGCCAGAGAGACATCTGCATCTTTTAAGGCTGCGGACATGCACCTGTGGAGAGGGTACGAAAGAGGAAGTTTAAGGATAACTTGTTTCTTGGTTGTGTTGTTTTTGCTACCCTACAGATTCTTATTGCTCCATTTAAACAAAGACATGAATGTTTACATGTCAGCACAGATTTCAAGTCATTTTTTTCAGGATGTTGTCATATAGACTTCTCTGTAAAAGGAAACACCCAACATACCCATAACAATTGACTGAAACTGTAACCGCTATAAAGAGGACTTGGTTCTTTTTATATTCAAATTGTGAAAGAAGCCTTAGTGTTGCTTTGCCCCCCCCGTTGTATCCATATAAGGTGAAATCATGGTATAGGCCAGATTTCTAATGTTCAAGTTATAAAATGTGAGGTCCAAAACTAACAGATGTTGTTATGATGGCTACATCCATGTTTTATACTGTGTGGTTTACACCAGTATCTGCTACAATGAAAGGATTGAGACTTTTAAGAGATAAAAGCATGCCAGCGTATTGACCCTAGTTTGTCACAAATGCTTTATGTGAATACTTCCAGGAAATAAACAGCCTGGACATAATATCACTAAGACAGAGAAGCTGTGCTAAGGGGACAGAATCCCTCAACAACCCCAAACCTCTGATAGAAAACTCAATTAACATACAGAACAGAGAGACCAGTCCAGGCTTGTTGGTGTTTTTAAAGCATCACAGGCATTTTAAGATTTTTTTATAGGAAGACAAGTAAATCTTTACTCATCTTCAACATTTCAACCTGGTAAAACACTCTTACCACCAAGCACAAAGCAACAAGCTTCCTGTATAACTAATTAGGCCAGCAAAATAACATGCTCGCTAACTCTCACTCAGGCGGTACCCTTCTCCTGCCCCTTCATCCATCCTTTACGATGCTGCTACCAGGTGGATGCAACAAAATGTCAGTAGTCTAAAAAATGGAAAATATAAATTGTAACTAATCTTACACTCGTGTGTTTGTGACTAACATAAAAAAAGCAGCACACACAATTTGAACATGAGAAATAACAGCACATTAGTGTTTGTGCCTTACACATATCAGCATACAACACAGCTGATCAATGATGTTGTAAACCCGAGGTTGTTTCCAGAATAATATTTTCATAATCAACTGAAAAATGATATTTCAAAACTCTTTCTAAAGCACAGGTACTTTAACTTGGTAACGGTAATACAAGGTATGGATACAATTACATAGCAGCCTATATTCATCTCGTTCTCTACCATAGCCTACCTACAATTAGTGGTCCAGTCCAAAGACATGTGTCCATGTAATTTGTGACTCTAACATGGCTGAGATGAGAGTGAGTTAGATAAAGTGTTAAATTGCATAGAATAGAATAGAGTGCTGTATGAATCTAAAATAACATGTCTGTTATCCTGTCTTCTCTCACTCCAACCGGTCGCAGCAGATGGCCCCGCCCATACATGCCAACCCTCACGATTTTTCTGGGAGAATCCCGAATTTCAGTGCCCCTCCCGAAAATCTCCCGGAGCCACCATTCTCCCGAATATCTCCTGATTTTCCACCTGAACAACAAAACTGAAAAACCATATCCCAGAATTCATAGCGCGGCCCAGCCAATTCAAATTTCCAACAATGGCGGCAGCTAATAAGTTTTAATATTACTCTTATTTCTCTTTCTGGGTCACAAAATAAACTTTTAACATATTTTAAGACAAGAATGTAGCTGTGTAAACTTCAAATATCTGAGCCGGCGAGAACAGCCAACTCCCGGCACATCGTTTTCAAACCCCCGCGGTCTTTCGCTACTCAGGTTAAACATGATATATGAGTCACTCAGATAACTTTTATTGTTTGGCTTTTTTCAGTGTTTTATTTGTTCGTGAGTAAATTGGTTTGGCTGAGGTTAAAGTTATTAGATTAGATTAAATACACCGAGAGAGCTCGTGACGTAATTCTGAAGGCTAGACCGTCCAATTTCACAGTCGCTCACTTCCAGCCTACCCGGCCTTCGGAGGACCCGGCCCACTTAGACCACGAAGGACAGGATGCAGCCTCTGAATTTGGACACCACCGCTGTTTCCAGCCACCCCCCACAACAGCCCTTTTGAATGTGTCCTTAATTCTGAGGTCTCAAGGTTGGCAAGTATTGTCCCGCCCCTCCCTGAGCCTGGTTGTGTTGGAGGTTTCTTCCTGTTAAAAGGGAGATTTTCCTTCCCACTGTTGCCAAAGTGCTTGCTCACGGGGGGTCATATGATTGTTGGGTTTTTCTCTGTATCTATTATTGTAGGGTCTACTGTACAATATAAAGTGCCTTGAGGCGACTGCTGTTGTGATTTGGTGCTATATAAATAAAATTGAATTGTATTTATTTTCGAAAAATGTGGCTTAAACTCTGACATATAGTCTAATGTGCACTCATTTTCTTCCACTTACCCAACCCACATAGGAACAGACAACCATTCACATTCACAGCATGGTGAATTTAGATTTACAAATTGACCTAACCCTATGCATGTCTTTAGACTGTGGGAGTAAGTTGGAGTACCTGGAGAGAACCCGTGGAGACACAGGGAGAACCTGCAAACTCCACACAGAAATGTCCTAGGCAAAACTAGAAACTAGAAACAAGAGTACTAACCACCACATCATCTGCCACCCATCAGTAAGACTACAAACATTACATGGAACTGCATGGTTGATATGTACCTGTTGCATCCCATCCATTTTTTTGGTCCTTCTATCTGGGATCCAGTTTTATAAATTCACAGTTTCATAAACACCACTTATGAAATTTTGGGCATATATTTCTGCATGAAGTAACTATATTTGTTCTTACCCTACTTTACTGATTATCAGTATATTTGAAAAATATATAAATAAAAAAACCAAACAAATAAGAAACAGCATCATCAAGTGAGAAAACTTTGAAATGAGTCACCTGAATGCCCCATCACCATCCACAGTAGGAGCAGTTATGTGAGTAGCGTCCCCTGAGAGCCCATAACCCAGGACCTCTGCGTAAATCCGGGCTCCTCTACTCACTGCATGGTTCAGATCCTCCAGCAGCAGCACAGCTGCTCCTTCTCCCATTACAAAACCTTCTCTTTCTGGATGAAAAGGCCTTGAAGCAAGTGTAGGGTTGTTATTCCATTTGGTCGCGAGGGCACGGGCCCTAGCAAAGCCAGCTAATGAAAGTGGCCCCACACAGGATTCTGTGCCCCCTGCAACCATAGCAACTGCATCCCCGTGAACGATGAACCTGGCTGCATCACCTACGGCATGTGCACCTGTGGTGCAAGCGGTGGACACGGCATGATTGGGACCCTTTAGCTTGTGTTTGATGCTTATGTGTCCAGCAGCCATGTTGACAAGGATGCGTGGCACAAAGAATGGACTCACTTTGTTGTAGCCCTTCTCTTGGAAGAGGGAGGCGGTACGAGCGATTTCGTCCAGCGACACCATGCCCATCCCAACAGCCACCCCTGTGCTGAGCTGCTGCTCTGGGCTTTTGGGACACCAGCCTGCATCCTCCAGGGCCAGCTGAGTAGCTCCAAGGGCCATTACGGTTGCTGATGACATGCTACTGATCTCCTTACGAGAAGCAAATGTTTCCTCTTCAAACTGACCCTCCTTGGTTCCTCTGGGCACCAGAGCTGCCACTCTACAGGGGAGAGTCCTGTACTCTTCTGAGTCCAGGGAAACTACCCCACTCTGACCTTTGATCAGACGGTCCCAGGACAGAGCAGTGCCTGTGCCCAGAGGACAAACTAACCCTATTCCTGTGATAACAACCCTCCTTCTTTGTTGCCGTCCAGAGCTGTGGTGCCTAGACTCCTGATTCGGACAAACACCGGCATTCTTGTGCAGAAGCGTCCTTATGTTCTGTGGTCTCAACCGTAGTTTATTCCAACAAAACAGTGAAAAAACAGACATCCTGCTGTCTGTGTAAGCTTTGACAGCTTCAGGCTTAGTTGGATTGGAGTTTTTACTGTAAATATCAGAGGAAAAAGGAAATATAATTTAGAAAAAAATATATAAATTACGGACTTACATAAACTAATTACAGAACAGACCAGACTAGAGTTAGCGGTTATTTATGATGTCCGTGTCCATGCCTTCCTTGTGTTTGTCTTCAGCTGTATTTAGGTAGTATTAGTAAAGGCCAGATCCATTTAAATGGCCAACAAAAATCAACCAACTCAATACCACAGGAAGAAAACATATAAAAGTGTTTAATTGTGGATAATTATGGCAAAAATATTCAAACACATTTTTTTAAGTCCTTCAGACGAATCAAACATTTATTCAGGCTGTGATGGGGCAGCTTCCTTTAGGACCCTAAAGTAGCTACTTAGCGTTAGCGCATTGAAAACTTACAAGACTTTTCCATTTTTTTTACAAGAAATATCAACATGGCTGTTTCACCAGCGGTCACGACGTTGTGTGAGAATCCAAATGAAGTCTTCTTAGATGTCACAAAGTTGTTACTTACATACGCGGACAACATTATAAGGTAAGGCAACGAAACGCTAGGAAAGCTTACCCAGCTGCAGTCGAGCCTCGGTGTTTTGTACGCTTGTAGCCGTTAATGTAATGCCCTTTAGCTTTTATGTCACTCGCCGAATCCTAGAAAATCAGGGCATAACTATTGAAATGGGTTTAAATGACTTAACAGAAAACAGTTTTTGGTTATGTAAAATACATTTATATATTTACACGTTGATTAAGCGATTTATTGCTACAAGGACAGTAACGCTAAATATGTCAGTGCAGGTGTCAATAAAGGTGAATGCTAGTCTACTCTACACGACCACAGAAGTATGTGTCATAACCATAGGCGTCTTTGGTTTGCACGTGGGTCGTTTCATCTGAAAATTATGTTTTGGGGGTTTGTTTGTTCGTTTTATTTTTCTGCTTGACCATCTGCTTATGGCTAACCAACCAGAGATATAGTGGCGGTGGACAAGAAAAGGAAGTCAGCTGTAATGATAGATGTAGGGATACCAAGTGATAGCAACGTCAGGAAGAAGGTACACGAGAAACCCGCCCCCACACAAACTCTCTCTTACTGTAAAAGTGAAATCAGGATCTGTAAATTGAGGCGGATCAAAAAATGTCTGAGTATTGGCTTCTCAAAATATGAACTGCCCCGTGTTTGAGCACACTGAAACCAACTTAACACTGCAGAAGACAACGAGCAGCAGTTTCTGAATGGTATATCTATATACCTATTACTATTTTGTTTTTGTTGTACAACACGTCACAACTGTCACTGTATCGTGAAATTTAAATGAATAAAAATAAAGCTTTCTAGTTTTTGTGACTATGAATTTCACATTTTCTAATTAGCATTCTTCATGTTTTGTTTTGCGTAATTGTAAAATGCAACCTCGTAGCATTCTGAAATATCTGTAATAGTTTCTGAGATGTTCATGTTCAAACATTGCCTCAGATATCTGGAAAAGTACTTTATATATGAAGCTAACATTTTATAGTGATCAGTGTACATGTGTAAACTTTGAACCATGATTTTTTGGGGGTAAATTGACAGTGAAGCAGAGGGCCCACGATAATTTGCAATAGAGTAATCCATATATGTTGTCTGCTTAGCTGTGATGATACTTGTGTAGAAAAACAGTGGATTCAAGGCACATTATATCTGCTGGCAGATACTGGACAACTTAAATGCCAACACTGAAAATGTGCGATTGGTTAGTATCAGTCAGTATTCCTGATGATTACTATTATGTCATCTCTAACAGGTATCCCAATGAAGAGAAATACAGATCAATACGCATTGGGAATCCAACTTTCTCCACAAAGCTGTTGCCTGTCAAAGGTGCTGTAGAATGTCTCTTTGAGATGGGATTTGAGGAGGTAATTTATTCATTTCTACTGTACCAGGTGGCTTCTATTTTAGAAGCAAGCTGGTGTTTTTGCTGTGTAGAACTTGCCTAGAAATCCATTGGACATTTCTCACTTGCTTGACTGTGAGCAAACTACCTCTTGCCAGGCTGAGACTCACTTAGTCTTCCCCAAGTCTGCATCAGTGGAAAAGCTGAAGCTCATCAGGGAATCTATTGCCACAGAAAGGGACCAGAGGCTGCGTGAGGGATGTCCTGTCCAACCAGCTCCTGTGTCTGCTGCAGCTTCAGCAGCAGCGAGCTCTACTGCTGCGGCTAACCTATCGGCAGCATCACCAGCACAGCAGCCACCGTCCGTGGTAAATAAAGACACTCACTGATGAATCAGAGAGTAGAGAAACCCTGATTAAATTTGGTCATGCCAACTCTATCCTCTTTTTACAGAGCATAGAGACCTCCTTGGACAGATTTGTGACAAATAAAGAATATAACACAGAAATTAGCCACTTTGAACATTAGTTTGTAACTGTGTTGTGGATTTTCATCCAAGGATATTGGACAGCTGACCAAACCACCTGGCATTCCAGGGCTGGGACATCTTACAATGATTTAGCTGAAGTCATGTGATACAGTTATTAATTATGGGTAACAAGACTCACTCTATAAGCCAAAAACACAAAGGATCTTCTTTTTGTTACTTTTATTTTGAAAGGATCTTCAGTTTCCTGATCTGTACAGAGGATATTTTCTCTACAACGTGGACAGAGAACTGAAAAAATAAAGCAGTGTGACTTTATATCAGTTATGCTTTCAAGTTATAGGACATCATAGTTTCAGTAGTTAGTGAGGAAATTATTAATAGCACTATTTTAAGCTTCCGCCAAATGCCTGTACAACGCCTGAACAACATTCACTTCCTTGAATGACACATTGGAGACCTGTCTGTTTATTTGCCTCTGTGTCAGGAGAGCAGCATGAGCTTCTTTGTGACTCTTCAAACAAACTTCCAACATGTGCTGCTTTATGAAAACCCTGAGCTGCAGCAGAAAGCCCGGAGTTTGATCCCTCACCAGGAGCTGTACTCTGCTGCTCAACAGAAGCTGAAGGAGGCTAATGAGTCTGACCCAAGTAAGAAAATTTCACCCACAGAAAACTTGGATATGTAACGTGTGTGTGTGTGTGGTGAAGTTTTTGACTTGCTGTCCTGTTTTCAGAATGTAAAATTGGAATAGAAGACTTCTTGGTGCTGGAATTGCTCAGGTGGTTCAAAAATGACTTCTTCACCTGGGTGGACCGTTTGCCCTGCCACCTCTGTGGAGGACAGACTCAGAACGCTCCCTCTCTCAGTCCTAGCACCGATGACCTCCACTGGGGAGCCCAGCGAGTGGAAAACCACTATTGTCAGAGCTGCCGGGTTTCCACCAGATTCCCCAGGTGAGTGTAGGTTATACGTTTGCATTTGGTTGCAAAACAAGTACGGCGAGTTAGGCAGGGATATGTTGCTTTCCACTGCTCGCTGAACAATTTTCTATGTAGAGAACAAAACGAAGACATCAGCAGAATGTAGCATATGAAGGTATGTTGTTAACAAAGATATGGGCAGCGAAACATAAAACAACAAAAAACAAAACATGTTTTAACTAAAAACTGTTAAGAGAAGCAGAATTCTGTTTCACATTGTTCTTGGATCACAAAAAGTTTACAAAATGCAAGAAAAAGAAAAGAAATATTCAGATGTTCACTGTAGAAATCAAAGACCTACAGAGGCAGAAAATAACTCTAAAACCTAAAAACAACAAATGTTGGAATGTGTGTAGAAAGAAATACTGAAAATTAATAAACACAAATTTCAGAGAATATGGGATATATTAAGCAGCATTATTAAAAAATAGTTGTGAACAGCACAAGGAGTTCAATATCTTACTGATAACTACATCATAAAGGATGATGGTGCTGACGTAGTTTTAACAGTTAGTTTGTAAACGCTGGATCAAATCTGTCCTGAGCTCCTGCCATCTGAAGACTGGGATCAAAGCCAGATAGAAACACGTGTAAATACAGTAAAGCCACTGATTGTAGTGATAGAGATACAACTGTAAAGAGCGTCACAGAAGGATCTCAGAATCTGTAACATTCACATCAGTGAAGTTCATAACAAAATGAGGTGTGTGTGTGTGTGTGTGTGTGTGTGTGTGGCTGGCATATTTTGGATGCCTCGTCTGTTCTTGTTAACACCAGGTATAACAGTCCTGAGAAGCTGCTGGAAACCAGGAGAGGGCGCTGTGGGGAATGGGCCAACTGTTTCACCCTGTGCTGCAGGGCTGTTGGCCTTGAGGCCAGGTACATCTGGGACAGCACAGGTATATACGTCATTGGACACCTTTTCTGCTTCTCTGCTCAAAGAGGAAAGATGTCAGTTTACTCTGCTCTGTCGTGCTCTTACATTTCTCAGCGTCACTGGATCATACAGACTGTTTAACTTGAGTTTGTATCATTTTAAGTAACATAAAAGATGAGCTTCAGTGTATATGTTGACAGGACAGGCTCATACCTGCTTGTACATTAAGAAAACGTTATCACATCTCCTAAGATTCCTGCGTGATGTGCTGGTGCACACGTGTGTAAATGAGTCGTGTTCCCTGTGTGTTTCAGACCATGTGTGGACAGAGATTTACTCTGTCTCTCAGCGCCGCTGGCTACACTGTGATCCATGTGAGAATATCTGTGATAAGCCTCTTCTGTATGAGGTCGGTTGGGGGAAAAAATTGGCCTATGTTCTGGGCTTCTCCAAGGACCAGGTACAAGAAATGGACACATGCTAGTACTGTTGTAACTTGTACTACTATTGTATTATTATTTAATACGAATGCTGTTATCTGCACTGTACTTTCTCACTTTGTGTTGAGGTATAGATGTTTCTGTGTTTAGATATCGACTCCCCCTCAAAGTCAAAGTTGAGTTAAGTGTATATATGAGATTATATTGCTGTCTTTGACACGGCCTCTTTCATGTTTATATCTTTGGGGGGGGGATAGCCCTCACTAGCTTAAGAACAGCTCAGATAATTACAGCTGGTTGTTTGAACAGTTGTGGGTGTGTGTGGATTTGTGCTGTAGGTGGTTGATGTGACATGGAGGTATTCCTGCAATCATCCAGAGGTTGTGTTGAGAAGGACCAGGGTTCAGGAGGCCTGGCTGCTGCACACCATTAATAGGCTCTCTGCAGTGGTAAGACTAACTCACTTAACAGAC